GCCTCGCCTGCCGCTCGCCGCCTCCGCCCTCGGCCCTCCTGCTCGCCCCCTCGCCACGGCGCTGCTCGTCGTCACGGACAGCGGCGTGGACTCCATCCCCTTCGTCGGAGACAGGCGCTCCGCCCTGGGCCGCAGCAGGAGCAGGACCAGCGCGGCCTGCCGGGCATGTCGAGCAACTCGACCAGCCATGGCTTCTGGACCTGGCGCATGGCGCCCGTCCCGCCCGCACCGTGCCGTGCTCACGCCTCGCCGTCCAGGCCACGGCCGCGTCGACGCTGTCCCGCGCGAATTGGGAACCTCACCACGGCGTCCTCCACCGTCTCCCGCTCCTTCTCGACGACGGCGCTGAGGCGCCACGCGAGGACGACGGCGTCCTCCAGCGCGACACACGTGCCCTGCGCCATGGCTGTCGGGGTACTTGGCGTGCCCCCGCGAGCCCTTGCCGTCCCGTCCACGGCCGCGCATGTCCCGCCCACGCCGGACGCGCCGGAATCCACCCACACGGGAAGAAGAGGTTGATGACGAGTGGTAGCGCGCGCTCTGGGACGAGCTCCACAAGGTCACCGCCGACGGGCCCCTCGATGCTGCCGCGCTCTCCAAGCTCACCAAGATGGGATGGGTCCTCGGCGAGGTGCTCCGCCTCTACCCGCCATCCCCCAACATGCAGCGGCAGGCCCTGCACGACATCACCATCGACGACGCCGGCACGACCAACTCGCGGGGCACCAACATGGCCGTGGTGCTGCGGCGGTTCGAGCTAGCCAAGGCGCCCGAGTACCGGCGCTTGAGCTGGCCGTGGCCGTGGTACATTCTGCCCCCGCCACGCCTTGACCGCCGGAACGCGCCCCATCCAGGCAGAGGAGAGAGGAGAGAGAGGACAGAGGAAAGATACGACAGAGGAGAGATGAGAGAGGACAGAGGAAAGAGACGTCGACAGTGGGCGAAATAAGCAAAAAGAATAGCGTTGGTGCTCCCAACTGCACGCCGGGATCTTGGATTTGGCCCAGGGTCGCCGGCGCTGTTTTTCCTTAAATCCGGCGCAAAACCGTATCTTGGGGCCGTGACTGGGACCATTTTTTGTCATCGGCGTTTAAAAAGTGGCTTGGGAGGCGTCTTGAGGGGCCTAATGGGGATGCTCTAAGGCCAACTCCACCACGCGACCCTATCCTGTCTGGCCCGTCCGTTTGGGGTAAAAGGGACAAAAGAGGCGGCCCAGCGCGCGGCCTCAAACGGAAAAATGTCCGGATTCCGTCCGTTTTCGACCCATCCCCGACCCAAACTTGCGCTCGGTTTGGGGTGAAACGGACGCACGCGGACGGCCGCGACGCACGCCCTTGTCCCCCTCGTGGCCCGCCTGTCGGGGACACTAGCAGTCCCTCCGCTCCCAACGCTTCACCCTCTCTCCCCACCCCGCCCCGCCGCCGGCGCCGCCCCTATTCTTCGGCCGCCTCCTCACCGCGCAGCCCCCCGCCGTCCATACCAAACCACGTCTCGACATGGCCGCCACCACGCCCGCGCTTTCGCCGTAGTTTTGGTCGTCTATCGGGGGAGGTTTGGTCGTCGCCGTCCTTGCCGGTGGTGGAGGGGACACGACTGTCGGCGACGGACCACGGCGGCCGAGGCAGATTCCGACGAGAGCTCCAGAGCGGCCAGTAGCCGGCCGGCAACTACCCCTGCTGCGTCGAGGTGATCATCGCGGCCTCTTCGCCACCACGACCGCAAGGTGTTCAACCTTTTGCCATCAAAGGTATGGACAGTGGAGACGAGTTTTTCTTTCATCACTTTCTTTGTTCGTCGAACGATTCGTCATCGGATGATGAAGATCTTGTGGTGGTTGCATTGGTCGTTCACGAACATATTCAACGGTAGCTTCCTCGGTACAGGGGGTCACTCCCTGGCCGTGCTCCCAACCTGAACCGCAACAGGGAGAGAGGCCACACCCTGCTTTATGCCGATTACTTTGCCAACACCCCGCTCTTCAAGCCGGATAAATTTCGTCGCCGTTTTCGTATGGCAAGGCATGTGTTTAATCGTATCCGAGAGGGAGTGGTTGCTCATGACCCATACTTCGAGTGCAAGACGGATGCCCTTGGCAAGCTTGGATTCTTCTCTTACCAAAAATGCACCGCGGCCATCCGCATGCTTGCATATGGTATTCCAGGCAATCTGGTGGACGAGTATGTGCGTATGAGTGGGACAACATGTCTGATGTCAATGTACAAGTTTTGCCAGGCTGTAATCGAGGTGTTTGGCCCAGAGTACTTGAGGCAGCCAACTGCCGCTGATACAGAGAGATTGTTGGCGACCAACGCAGCTAGAGGCTTTCCAGGCATGCTTGGCAGCATAGATTGTATGCATTGGGAGTGGAAGAACTGTCCATTTGCTTGACAGGGCCAGTACAAGGGGCATGTTAACGGGTGCACTCTTATATTAGAAGCGGTGGCATCGCAAGATCTTTGGATATGGCATTCTTTTTTCGGCATGGCAGGTTCTCACAATGATATCAACGTGTTGCAGCGCTCTCCAGTCTTCGCAAGGCTTGCAGAAGGCCACTCCCCACCTGTCAACTTTGAGATCAACGGCCACCAGTACAACAAGGGATACTATCTAGCAGATGGTATATATCCTCAGTGGTCAACTTTTGTGAAGACAATCTCGAAACCCCAAGGTGAGAAGAGAAAGAGATTTGCCCAAATGCAAGAGAGTGCTAGAAAGGATGTGGAACGTGTTTTTGGTGTGCTTCAATCCCGGTGGCGTATCGTTCGAAACCCTGCACTGTCATGGGATGAAAGGAAGCTTTGGGAGGTGATGACTGCTTGTGTGATTATGCACAACATGATCGTCGAGGACGAGCGTGATGAGAGTATCTTCGACCAAGGATTTGATTATCAAGGTGAAAATATTGAGCCCCTGCACCAAGACCCGGCCACATTTGAACAGTTTGTCCAATTCCACCGTGAGATGCGTGATTGGCACACTCATTTGAATCTTTAAAATGACTTGGTTGAGCACGTCTGAGATCACATTGGCAACCAATACATGTATTGGTCCAATTTATGTTCAGTCAAGACAATTTCGATTTGGTTGTAAAACTATTTTATTAAAGACAATTTCAATTGGGTTGTAAAACTATTTTAATTTTCAGACAAATATTTGGGTTGGAAACTAGTTTTGATGTAAATTTGGGCATTTTTGGCTCTGACGGACAGGATGGGGAAATGGATGCGGCCGCATGCTGGGTGCACGGTCACCGCATTTCAGGACAGGTCCGGACACGACTCCAAATCACTACCCAAACAGACAGAAACCGGACAAAACGAACGTCCGTCTGGAATCGCGCGGTGGAGTTGGTCTAATTCGTCTCTCTCCGCCCGTCACCACCCGTCCGGTGGTAGCCAGGGGTGGGAGGGAAGGAGGATACTTTGGTGCTCTGCTAGTACGTGGTGGTGCTGAATTTTAATGCCCGCTTTGCTGTCCGTCTCCGGCCACCTGACGCAACCTCAGGCCCCACGGCTCCTTGTCATCGCCCGCCCGACGTCACCTCCCATCCCATGTGCCCGCTCCGGGCCCCTATATATAAACGCCTCGCCGGGCTCGCCTCTCCACCTCCTACGAATCGATACCGATTGATATTCATTCACGGTGGGCACCCGTCGTCTGCTAGTTTAGTTGCAAGCAGTGGCCGCGGCGACCTACCTCACCGTGTCACTTCTTCACGGCGGCGGGAGGCGAGCATGCAGGCGGTGGCGGGCATCCGGCGGGGGCTGACCATAGACCCGGCAGGGGAGGAGGAGGCGCCGGCGCAGCGGTTCGGGCGGCTGGTCAGGGAGAGCCCCGTGGTCATCTTCGCGCGCCGCGGCTGCTACATGGCGCACGTGATGAAGAGCCTCCTCGCGGCCGTCGGCGCGCACGCCACCGTCATCGAGCTGGAGGGCCCCGCCGAGGAGCGCGCGGCGGTGGAGGCCGGCGGCCACGCGGCCGTGCCGGCGCTCTTCGTCGGGGGCGCTCCGGTGGGCGGCCTGGAGGGCCTCATGGGGCTCCACCTCAGCGGCCTCCTCGTCCCACGCCTCCGAGAGATCGGAGCCCTCCGCGCCTAGCTAGCAGCTGCTGGATCCTCTCCTCCCCATCTCCGGCGACTCTCTTGCACGTGTGTGTGCACGCTTCGTCTTCGTCTTCGTCTCCGTGTATGTACATATGGAAACCATGAGCTTTGTAATTTCAAGACTATCAAGGGTGTGGAGTGAGAAACAACAGGATAAATAAGCTGTACCGCACGGGTGGGAAAGACAACGAGATGAACTCTAGCGGGGGTGTTGTGACAAAAAAGGTTGGACCTAAATGTGATTATTACCTTACTTAGGACTACTCCAGCTGTGTTGAGTTTCGCAGACATCATCAGCAACTTAGCTGTTTGAAAAGCCCCTCTTTGCTTGCCCACTTGTTTAAAATCTTGCTTCTGTTTTGTCCTGGTGTGACGTTCTTTGTTTGGCGCTAATTAACTAGTGATCACCCCACATGATTGCCGTATAATCATACTTGGAAGCCGATTACTCTATGGCAGGGAGATAACATATTCAAGTACCGGGGTGGGGGGTGGGTAATGAAGGGGGACGTCAGCACGAACTTGGAACCCTAATGGCTGCTTTGCCCGGCAATGATCGAAATGCGCATCAGTCTCGCTCAGTACGGCGGAACTTCAACCACAAGCTGTGAATGGCAAGGGTTGGACCTAGCAAGCCTAGCATACAAGTATAGAACCAATATTGAGGTCAGATGAACTGAATGAAACTTGTCAAATCCTTTCTAAGAGTAGCACCTCCTTTTTCTGAATTTAAGACTGGCCCTTCATTAGTGGTACTCCTAGATGATAGATGATACTGTAAGGGCATGTTTGGTTTCAAATAAGTCACCAACTTATAAGTCGAAAAGTGGAAAAAATAACTTATTTTGTCAAACGTACCCAACTTATAAGTCACCCCAACTTAGGGCCTGTTTGGTTTCAATAAGTCACCTCACTTATAAGTCAGGTGACTTAAAACCAGTGACTTATAAGTCACGTCTGTTTGGTTGTCACCTGACACATTTTTCCACACCAATCAACATCATGCAGGTGATGGGACCCATGCAAAAGGGGGTGACTTATAAGTTTTAAGTTGGGGTGGAGCAACTTATGACTTATAAGTTGGGGTGACTTATAAATCGGGTCTGTTTAACAAAATAAGTCATTTTTTTCACTTTTCGACTTATAAGTTGGTGACTTATTTGGAACCAAACAGACCCTTATAAGTCATAAGTTTCACCCCAATTTAGGGCCTGTTTGGTTCCAAATAAGTCACCAACT